CTGAAAAGGTTTTAAATGCTGAAAAGGTTTTAAATGTTGAAAGGAAAGATACGGAGAAAGAAAAGAAGAGGATTATGGAAATTGAGAAAAGATTTGATTCTGAACGAAAATCCTTTGAGAATAAGATTAACTCTCTTGAGCTGAACGCAAAGATGTTGTTAAAGCAAATCTCGGATTTTGAGCAGCTTATCATTTTGGAATGAGACAAGAATGATAAAGAAAAGAAAGACATATCTGAAGACTGTCAGAGTCAACTACATAAATTGTCCGAAAGCATTGATCTAAAGCAAAAGGCTTTAGACGAAGAGAAAAGAAAATTTGCTCTTGAGAAAACAAATACTTCAAAGAAGTATACAACAATTGCTAAAGAGCTTGCAAATAAGAAAAAGTGGCTTGACATTGTCTCGGAGAATGAAAAGAGTAGYTCAGATGAAGAGAAACGAGAGTTAATAAATCAGAAGAGAAAGTTTGAAATGCTACAGAAGGAGTTAGAAGGTAAACTCATGGATACTTCAAAGAAGTTGTCTGATCTAAAGACAGACTTTCAAAACTGAATTGAACATGAGAACTGAACTGAAAAAAAAACATGATTTAGTTACTGTAGAAAGAGACCAACTTTTACAAAAAGTCAAAAACTTTTCGTGTGCTAAAAGTCCAACCGGTTCTCAATCACAGTGTAAAACCAACTTTTATAATTGTTCATATTCGAACAGTTATTCAAGTAGTCCTAAATCTAATGTTTCTAAGAACTATTCTCGTTCTAATCAATATTATCAAGGATATGTCATTGGATCACCCAATTATTCTTCAAAAATTAAAATCTTTGGGTTAACAAGTCTGAATCTGTTTTATCTCATACACCTGTTGTTAATAACAATCTTCCTTGCATTGTGAACTCCACTAATGATCTGATCAATCTTAGCAAGAGAAGGATTATGTACTCAACGTGCAGAACCAATAAATTTGTCAATAAGAAAAGGTTCAACAGGTGGCATGAAGATAACAGTTATCAGAACAACTGGAAAGGTAAGAACAGGTATGATCAAAATTTCTGGTACGATTCATATTTTATTCCTGATCATCCTGTTAATAGTGCTGAAAAGAAAATACCTTATAGAAATAAATGGTTTGGTAATTATAACATACCTCAACCAGTTACTAATAAAATAGGACCCAAGTTCGTTTGGGTACCAAAATCTACTTAATCTAGTTTTGCAGGTGTGTCAAGTTTGTGCTGATCAGAATATCATTTCAATGATACACCATTGGAGGGGGAGTCGTAATTTATTCCAAACGAGGCTTCTGAATATTTCAGTTCAGGACCCGTGCTTTACCGAGTGTGGTTTCTAAACACTCACTTTAGAACCCGTACTGTCACACCCTGCTAAAGCGGAAACACGAGATGTAACAGGCAAGCGAGTCATAGCAACAGTTTATAAATAACACCGTACCAAGTTGTTTCCAAAAACAAAGTAGTTCATCGACATAACTAAAATTAGAATTTTACACAACGTTCTCAAAACACCTCAAAATCTTGACTTAATCGATCYATGCTCAAGTATGCTCCCAAAATCCAAATAACTTTACTTAGAACCTGAAAAGCATGGAATAAAACAAAGTCAACTACAAAGAGTTGGTGAGTTCACGAAATTTCACATGCATAAAACGTTTCAATGCATAAACCAAGTAGTAGCAAACTTATGCGAATTCTTTGCACTTAATAAATGTAAATCTCTCACGATGTAAAACTTGAGAAGCTACTAAGCCTTACCTGACCAACTTGCCCCATTAAGTTTCGAACAACCAGAAGTAGCCCGTTCACTACTTAGGTCCCACAGTTCGATAGAGTACTAATTCAGCGGTGGTCCAAATTCCACATCATTAGACTAGAAAACCTAGGTAATTGTTCACCCCTTTCTGGGTGGGACTGTCAATACAATAGCGGCTATTCACAATACCACGCCCCGGGAATGTACCCGAGTTAACAAGTAGCGTTTACGGACGGGGACTTTTATTTGGAAACATATACTCCCAA